GACAGGACCAGAAGCAGCCTCCGCCCCGCTCTGTCCATGATGAGCGCTGCGGCAGCAGTGAATAGCACCTGGATCACGCCCACGACCACAGAGGCCAGGTTGCTGTCCTGGGGGGCGGGGGGTGGGGAGACAGCAGCCCAGGGGTCAGGTGGGCCAGCTCATCCCTCTGGGGGGAGGGCAGCCCCCACAGGCGCCTGCTTTGGGGAGGAAGCTCACGCCAGGGGCCGAGACCGCTTTACCTTGAACTTGGCCTCCTCAAAGATGGTCTCTGCATAGAACATGACAGCATTGATGCCAGACAGCTGCTGGAGGGCCATCAGTGACACGCCGATGACAAAGGGCTTGTAGACCCCCGGCTGCCGCAGCTGGGCCAGGTGGAAGCCCTGCTCAGAGAGAGACAGGCTATCAGTGCTGTCTGCCCCTCCCATGGGCTTCAGGGCCTGTCCTAAGGTTAGGGGGAGGAGGGTGAGCCCTAGTTCAGCCTCTCGTGCAGGCTCCACCTGTATCCTGAGGGCCAGAGATGAAGGAGTTCTTGTATCATGTGTGCGGTGAGGAGATCCTTGCCTGCCCTGTCTTTTCCTGATCCTGAATGGTGGGGGTCAGACTGGGAGTTCTAGGCATCCTGTCCCTTCCAGCCTCCAGTCCCTTCCTGGGGCCTCCCACAGCCTTCCTCCCCGAATCCTCACCACCATCTACACAGCTCGTGCCAATGAAGCCAGTCGGTCGGGGGTACAGATGGGAAGGCCACGGAGCAGGTAAGTGGCAGAGTTGGAGGTTCAAACCCAGGTCTGATTCCACAATCTAGACTCTCAACCCTTTCCTTGCCCCACAGCCCCACCTGCAGTGACCCAGTGAGCTCCGGGCCCTCAGGTTAGAGCCTGTGACCCTCCTCTTCCCGGACAGACTCAAAGCTCAAGGCTGCCGCCTGAGGCTGCAGTGGCCTCCGCCTGCTAGCAGACAGGACCACATGGGTCTGCCCCATCTTCCCTGAGGGGAGTGGGCTGGGGTTCTCGAGAGCTTGGGGTCATATATCACCCCTGCTCCCTCAGGAGCCTCACCTGGTGCTCCTCCCTGGTGGGGGGCTCCTCCCAGTCCTGCTGGGAGCCCCACAGGAACTGCAGGGCAGCCGCAGCTTCTTGGTGCTTGTGCTGTGCCAACAGGAAGCGTGGGGTCTCGGGCATGCAGCACATAAGCAGCAGCATGAGGGACGGGGGCACACAGCCCAGCACCGCCAGCCAGCGCCACTCCATGGTCCAGCCTGATGGGGACACGGGGTGTCAGGACCACCCTCGGGCATGCCTACACCCCACAACTGCAGGGGCTCAGCTCCAAGGAGGACTCAGCTGACTACCCCTATGTGCCTGCCTTTGTTTTTCTTACGGCCGACCTCACTGTTACGGCCGACCTCACTGTTACGGATCACAATGCTGTCAATAAATGTAGAGTGCATGGGCCGGTTCTAGAGGGGATGGGAGGACATCACTCCCACTGTATCCACCCAGTGAAATGCAGACGCAGCCATCACAACAAAAAGAGTGCTCCCTGCAGGCTGCTCTGGGTTGGATTTTATCAGAGCAGACAGCCTCCTCTTTCTTCCGTGGAGCCGCTGGTGGGCTCGAACCACTGACCTGAAGGCAGTGGGTTTCCTAGGTGTTGAGACACATCACTGATGTGCAGGAAGGGACGGAATGTTGTTGTCAATTCTGACTCCTACTAACCCCCGTGCTCATCAGAAGGAAACACTGCCCGGTCCTGCCCCTCCTCACGAGTCTTCTTGGGTTAGAGCCCTTGTGTCAATCCATCTTATTGAGAGTCTTCCTCGGTTTCACTGCACCTCAACTTTCCCTACTTTACCAAGCAGGAGGTCCCTCTGCAGGGACCAGTCTCATAAATGATCCTGTCCTCTAAGGGGCTGTCCTTCTGCCCAGACAGATCGGTGTGTTCTGGGCATCCACGCTCTCTTCAGTTTTGTGCTCCGGCATCATTCAAACACATTCATTCTTCTTCGGCCTTCCATCGTCCACGTGCAACTTTCAAGCGCATGCAAGGCCATTGACAATGCCACGGCTTCCTTTGGCCCAGGTGTAGCTTAGAGCTCAATGTTGTCTCCTATGTTCCTCGGCACCCTGGCTTCCTGAGAGAGGATGGAGGAGGCAGGGGGAGCCTTTTCACAGAATACTCTTCCACTTTGCACTTTTGGGGGGGTCCCTAGTGGTATCAATACTCAGCGGCTCACCAAAAGGCTGCGGGTTTGAGTCCACCCGGAGATAAAAGCCTAGTGATATACTTCAAACAAATCAGTAAAAATCAGCCTCTGAGAACCTTACGCAGTAGGCAGGCCTACAAAGATCACCACCAGGGAGGCATGCCCTCCTGAGACCAACGAGCCCCTGCGAGCAGAGGGGAGGCAGTTTCCCAGGGGTGAACTGGGACGGCAGGGACAGCCAGGAAGGAGGCTGAATGGAAATGATAAACCCAGGGAGGAACTGGAGCCAATACGGTAAGTGGATAAAATCACAGACTGTCCTGCACATCGCTCACGCTATGACCCAGATGCACCTGGGGCTCTTAGGCCACTCCGGGCAGTTCTCATCTGGGGCCTGCCACCAAGCGTTTTGTGAGTCACTTCATTTAAAAGCTCTCTGCCACCGAGTCAATTCTGATGCACGCAGGCAACCCTACAGGACAGGGTAGAGCTTCCCCTCTGGGCTCGATACTTGAAAATCGTTATAGGGGCAGACTGCCTCCTCTGTCTCTCGGGGAGCAGCTGCTGGCCGCGAACCACTGACTTGTGGTGAGCGGCTCAGTGTGTCCGTGTGACTGGCTGTGCCACCAGTGCTCCTCCCCCAGCAGGCTCCCAGGGGCATTCTCCACACCCAGGACTGTCCCACCTGAAGTGCTGCTCCGTCTGGCGAAAGTCCCTCTGCCCCCTGCAGCCGCCCTGCCCTCAGCCTCACACCACCTTGTGAAGCCTGGCATGGCTGAGGCCTTTCACGCTCCTGTGAAGATTTCTTTCTGGAGTACTCGCCCCCCCCC